CCTGAGCCTGTTGCTTCTCCGATTCCTCCGCCAGGCGCTGTACCGGGTCCGTGATCTCCTCTTCATCGGCCTTCTCCTGGACTACCTTGAACTCGGTAACTCCGGTCCATCGGTCTTCGCCCATGAGGTGGCGATAGCTGTCCCTGCGTGTCCAGGTGTCGGAGATCACCAGCTTCGAGCCCGCCTTGTCGTAGGGGTCTGCGACGGTTCGTCTCTCTTCCGCGAGCTGCTCCGTGGGGATCGGGCAGGCAATGCTGGTGGGCACAAACATGTCTAGGCGCGCCTTGACGTGGTGCCTCCGTAGTATGCCAGCAGCCTCGTCGATCTCCCAGTGATCTTGATCATTCGGAGCAGATCCAAAGAGGGCTATCAGCCAGCCATCGTGCATGATCTTGGTTCGCGGTTGGCTGAGCGTTCTGATGTCCTCCAAGGTGAGGGCAGTCCAGCACTTGACGTCGCCCTTGAAGACCAACCGCAGCGGTGCAGATGCCGTGCGAAGGTACGGCATTGGAACAGGGATCTCGTCGTCGTGAAGGGTGCAGCAGATGCCCTTCACATCCAGGACCTTCTTGAAGATCTTGCGAGCGATGGCCAAGTAGACCGGATCCTCCGTCCAGTGCCGGTACTTCTGCTTGTGGGCCTCAATGATGTTCACGCCTTCCTCCACTACCTTCAGGAAGAGCAGTTTCAGCATGAGCGTGTCGATCGCCGGCATCTCATAATCCATGGTGAGCTTGACGTCATGGATCGTAGGATGCCGCATGGCTTCCCTCTTGAACTGCTCCATGAGGTCTGGAAGTGTAGTGGTGACATTCCTGGAGACCTTGGCCGATGAGGTCCCCGGTGTAGGCAGTGAGGATGCATGCCGGCACTCTCTGGGCACCAGACTGTGCTCGGTCCCTGGAGGAGCTTCTCTGCCCAGTCGGCACTTGTCGCACTTGTAGTAGATATGGTAGTCCTCATGTCCTCGACTGGGTTTGCCGATGAACTTCTTGATGTCGGCTATGATGGCCTTGCAGAAGCCCCGGGGGTAGACCGCCGCCATGATGGTGCGCTGCCGGCCGAGGTGGTCTGATCCTTGAAGTTGAGAGTGATCGCGATGTCTTCCTTGGCATCGCTTGCACGAGTTGCGCAGCGCCATGTTGGCTTGCAGTCCGGTCGGCTTCATAATGGGGATGCGGTTCTCATCGCAGGCTCCATGCATGCATTGGTCAACCCGCTGCCTTGACCGACATCCCTCAATGTCTCTCAACCTTGCCATAGGCGAGAGCGTCCACATAGCCGAAGAGAAGGGCTGCTCCAGGATGAAGGCTTTCCCCTTGTCTGCCTGCCGTTCGGCCATCCGAAGAAGAAAACACAGAGACTCAAATTCTTCTCCTCGATCTCGATCACGGTCCTCTGGCTTCTTCCGATTGGCCGAGATAGACCAAGGCCTGCAGTTGGGCGACATAAGGATCACGTCGGGATCGATCAGGTCTTGAGCGTGTAGTAGCAGTTCCTGATGGTGCTTGTTGCCAATGTCCCAGCCATATCTGAGGTCTACTGGGAACGCAACCATCAGCCCGCTGATGAGGGCCAACAAGGAGAGCCGCGAACTTCCTGAGCAGATCTCCCAGAAGTTGCACTTCTTGCGTGAGCGAGAGCTCGCCCACTGGTGGTAGTTGTCGGGCTTGATGACTCGCTTCCCGGTGTGCTGGTAGTACTCCTCTGGCATCAACTTGTACTGCCTCCGAAGTTGCTGCTGCTTCTGTGCTGGTAGTTCGTGAGGTATGTCATCTCCGGGGTAAGCAGATGGCAAGTTGAAGTAGCACTCATCTGGGGCAGTGCGGTGGTAATCCTTGTGGTTCTGGTCGTGCTGGTTGTCCTTGGGGTTGCTGTGGACTGCTTCCGGTGGAGAGTCAGGTGACTCCTGTTCCGGTGATGGTGCTGCATGAGTGGTGTCCTCTCGAAGTGTGAAGTGCGTGAAGCCGGTCCAAGTGAAGGGATTCACGGGATTGTTGGTGCGCCAGTTGTCGAAGACGTCGTGTGCTGGTTGACCGTCTCGTGGCTGCACTTCTGTGGATCTCCCATCTTGTAGTAGATCGGCTTCTACGCCTGGAGGTAGCTCCACGTCCGTGGGCAAGAAGAATGCCATCCTCGGTCGTCGATGGACTCTTGTGACTCTGATCGGTCCGTCATCACCGAAGTCCACCGTCCAGTAGTCCTCGGGTTCCAGGTCCGTGCCGTCCACGATGGAGAGGTGCTCTTGCTTTCCAGATGGTAGTTCATGAGGTTCACTCCGCTTCCGTCCTGGGCTCTTTCCATCAGAGTGCCAGACACTGTACTTCGTGTCCGACCATCTCTTCGCGGACTGCTCCTGGACTTTGGAGAGGAAGGTGGCTGCCTTGCGGTGCTCCTCATTCTCTGAATGCATCTTGCCGTCGACCGGCAGCAAATAGTGCTTGGAGTCCGTCAACAACAGCCTATAGAGACTGAAGGTCTTCATCTCCTTGTCCGTGGGTAAGATGAGCAGGCCGTCGTTGTTCTGGAACCAGGCAGAGGCTATCACGGCTCTCATGCCTACCAAACCTGGGTTCCCCACCAGCGCAGGGCATAGTGAGGCGTTGCCCCCGATGACGTCCGCGGTGTAGGTTGCCTCGCGCAGTTCCTCGAACATCGGGAGTGGCATAGTGACCTGGCCCAAGATAGGGTCTGACTGGCCCGAGATGCCAGTGACCTCCGCTTGCTTCTCCTGCCACTGCATGCTTGTCTTGATGACGCTGGACTGGTCGCAGTGGTCGACCAGATCCCTCAGAGTTTCCGTGCCAACCAGGCTGTTGGCTGCTCCAGGGTCGATGATGAGTCCTCGTCGGCGATGGCCGCCGACTGTGTGGTAGACCTCATCGACGCTGTCGCCCTCGGTCTTGTAGAGGCCAACGTGGAAGGAGAAGCTGAGGTTCTTGGCTCCTCTGTTTGCGGAATCGCTGGCATCGGCGTCTGTCGAGCTGGATGGTGGTTGTGGTCGCGGTCGAACGAAGAGGTCCTCCATGTGTTCTCCTTGACCAACGCTTGAGGTCTTCTGGTTCTGCGGCAGATCACGTGATGGTGGTGCGTGAGGTCTGAATGATGATGGCTGTGGTGGCCCGGAAGGGGATGACGTGGTCAACGTAAGTCCTTCTCGGGCATGTCTCACCTGGTTCATCTCGTTGGTCTCGGTGTAGTATCGTGGGCCGCTATACTTGCCCTTGAACTTGCCCTTGGACTTCCCCTTGCCCTTGCCTTTGGGTCGGTAGCCACGTCCCTTGCCTTTCGGCCTCCATTTGCCTTTGTCCTTGCCCTTGTCCTTGCCCTTGCCGAAGGACTCTCTGGCCGGGCAATTTGCAGCGAGATGCCAACGGGATCCGCAGACAAAACAGCCTGCGTTGCCTTTGCCCTTGTTGAAGCCCTTGCCATAGACCTCCGCATTCTCTGGGTCTTGGTTCTCCGAGTCGGGCTTGTCGAAGTCTGCCGTCCATGAGGTGGTTTGGTCCGCAGTTGCATCTCCCTGCCACTCAGACTCATCGTACCACCAGTCCTCGGTAGTGTAATCCTCGAAGTAGTCCTGGTAGTCGTGGTCAGGACTCCACCAATCATCTCCATCGTACCAGTAGTACATCGAGTCAGCGGCCTGGTAATCGAAGTAGTCCTCGCTGTTGGGGTCCATCTCGTGCTCCTCGGTGCGGGAGTCCTCGCCATAGAAGATGTCCCCCTTGTGTCCATCTGCGTGTTGGTGAGCAAGTCGCAGTGCCAGGGCCCTGATGTCATTGAAACGGGACATGTCGCCCTGCACCTGCAGTTTGAGGTCATCGCAGAACTTCTGGCTCATGTTGCTCTGTTTCAGCCAGAGGTACGATCGACCCACCATGTTCATGTCCAGGCCTGCACGCGTCTGCGCCTCCTCAAACCGCAAGTCCCACTCCAGTGAGAACTCCTGCAACGTCATGGCGTTCTTCCTCTTGAAGTCGAAGAAGGCTTCCAGCGCCTTCGTGAGGAGCTGCTCATCCGACTGGCCAAAAGCAGCTCGGAGCGCATTGCAAAGTGCTTGCACTCCGCTCGGGATTGCATGCTGGAGGATCTGCGTGGGGTCAGCCGGATCTCTGACTTCGTCCACGCTCAGGCGAACCAGTGCCGCGTCGCCCACGTCCACCTGGCCGTCAGGCCTGACAAGCCTGAGCTCAAGGGCCACTCTTTGAGCTCGTGGCCCGAGCCTCCCGGCCACGATGGGGCCCACGCACTCATCGGGCACCTCCGTCTGGCGATACCACAGTCGAAGTCGCTGGAAGTAGGTGGTCAGCGTGTAGTTCGGATCTCCTGGTTCCCATCCAGGAGGAAGGTCTCGCCGGAACTCCGTCAGTGGTATTCCTCCGCCGCCGGAGGGCATCGCCATGCCTGCCACGATGAGGCTGTAGAGCAAGAGGGCGAAGTGGATCAGCTTGGTTCTTCTTCCAGTGAGCGAAGGTTGTGGCTCGGTCCCCGGTCTCCGCCGCCTAGACCTCGCCAACCGCCACGTGCTCTTAGGCGGTGATACGAAGGCACCGTCCAGCTCCTTGAGAGCGAGGTGCCGATTCTCGTCGTAGGTGAAGATCACCTCCGAGATGCTCATGCACCAGCGGCGAAGCCGCCGAGGCTGCGAAATGGCGCAGCCGGCCGGATTGGCCTCGGTAGCCTAGACGGCGAAGCAAGGCGCTCCGCTACCAAACTCGAACAAAGCGCTATTTCCTATGCTCAAGCCCGGGCTGTCGGCGGGTGTGTAATTTCACTAGAATCTACTCACGACACCCAGCAAGGGCCAACCGAATTGCGTCAATCTGTCAGGTCAGCTGACGCAACTGCAACGCGGGGGTACTGCAACAACGTCCAACTGCTCAGCTAGACCATGCCGAAACCTGGCCGTCCCTGGAAATAAATAAGAAAAAAACCGCCTGCAACTGAAGTTTGAACTGCGTGAACCTAATGAATCACAAGCGATTGAGCTGAGACACTGCCAGCGCTGCGAACCACGCGACCAGGCCCAGCCTCTCCAAAACGGCAAGGCTACCACGGGAGAGTGTTGGACGCGATGGACGCTTAAGATCTGAGCTCCGGACACAATGTGCAGCTGCATTACTACTTTCAAGAGATCTCTGCCCCTCCTTGCCCGTTGCCATGCCTCAAACGCGCCACAATCTAGCAAGCTGAATCACAAACAGATTGAGCCACACACCCAAACGAGCAAATAGAGGAGCTCGGAGTGCACTATGAACTCAGCGCGCCACTCGAAACCAACTTGCGGCAAACTTGAGGCATGGCCCAGTACCCGGCGCTGTGGAAGGTTGCCAACGGCACGTAATGGACAAACTGCACAAAGGGCTTGAGATTGATTTGGCCTCACGCTCACGGCGGCTTACACTGGGGGAAGCATGAAATGGTCACTGGCTCTGTCACGGATAAACTGAGGCATCAACCCACGCAGGTGTTGGTCCAAGGGCAGTGGTGATCCATGCTGGCACACCCACACACATGGCAATGACAACAGCATGCTTTAGGTGCAACTGCAAATGAGGCCAAAGGCTTGCCTCAACACACACCGACCGCAAGTTGAGCAGTGATGTGCCCGGGGCCTTGCTTGCTCAATGTCTATGTCCAGGGAAATTCATGTCAATCCGTGTAACCCCGCATCCCTAACCCAAATGACGCTGCAAGCGAAGCTAAGCCCGCCGCGGTTTGAAGCCCTTACAGCTTGCGCACCACTGCAGCAAATCGTTGACCTTGGCTCCGTTGGCACCCCAAGACATGGCCAAGATTGACAGGCCAAACAGGGCATCCTTGGCTTGAGCAGTGGGCAGGCACGTCAGCGTCGAGAGGCAAATCGTTGCCCGCCTGGCCGGGGCGTCGCAAGAATGACGAAAGCAAGACCGATTCAAACTGCAACTTGCGACAAAAGATGGAGGAAACAAAAAGGTGCCTACCTGCGCGCACTCCGTGCACTTGTCTTTGCCTGCACGCCTGGTGCCTTACATTTCTGTCGAGGCACTTCAGCTGCCAGCAGCTGCGAGAGCTCCTGACGGGCCAGGGACCCACGGACCGGTGCTCTCCAAATGCTCACCCCGCTTGGCGCCCCTCTGGCGCCGTTTCGCGGCAGTTTTGGGGGCTTCGGGATCCGGAGCTCGAGCTCCACGCAATACATGGCCTTGGCGGGTGACACGAAGCGCACCCGGCGGATGCTCACAGCCTTGACCGATAACGAAGCCAATCTTTCCGACAAGGCCAGCTCGCTGTAGTCGAAGGCGTAACAATGCACCCGGCAGAGGACTCCAGCTTGGCTCACGCGGGGCAGAGCTTCGGAGAACAGCTCGAGGGCAGTCTCGGGTAGGTTGAGGACTAAGTGGACCAAAGGCACTTCCGGAATGGCAGCAAGCTCCTCCCAAGCACCCCGCAGAGCTATGGGTAGCAACTCCCGCGCGTCCATACACAAGACGTGGACATTGGCATGATTCCTGGCTGTCACCATTGACCAGTTTGCATCTTTGTTTGTTTCGTTTCGAGAGGCCGGCTTTCATGGCGCGACTTGCAATGTACCAGCTGCATTTCCCATCCAATCAAATATGCTTGCCGAGACACAGCTTGGCGTTCCGCTCAACAGCTTCCGCTGCGGCAGGATTCAAGTCATTGGCAATGACGTGGCAGCCTTTCCTGGGCCCAAGCCGAAGAGTGCACAAGCCATCCTCTCCGGTCCTGTCCATGTCCCGACCCAACCGGCTCAACCGGCGGGGGGTTTTGCCCGGGCCTGGCCGCGAGCAGCGCCAGCGCCCCGACACCGCAGCAGAGGTCCAGCAGCAGCTCGCCGTGGCCCAGGCCCGCTGCCACGTGCCCCCGCTCCGCCGCCAGCCGCGAGTTCCAGTAGACCTATGGCGACCCATGTCTTCTTCATTTACTTGTTTGTAGGCCACGGTCATGACACCTAGAAAAGAGAAGAGAGAGAGAGGAGAGAAGAGAGGAGAAGAAGAGAGGGAGGAGAGGAGAGGAGAGGAGAGGAGAGGAGAGGAGAGGAGAGGAGAGGAGAGGAGAGGAGAGGAGAGGAGAGGAGAGGAGAGGAGAGGAGAGGAGAGGAGGGGAGGGGAGGGCAGAGGAGAGGAGAGGAGAGGAGGGGAGGGGAGGGGAGGGGAGGACAGGAGAGGAGAGGAGAGGAGAGGAGAGGAGAGGAGAGAGGAGAGAGGAGAGAGGAGAGAGGAGAGAGGAGAGGAGAGGAGAGAAGAGAAGAGAAGAGAAGAGCGAGAGAGACAGCGAGAAGAGAGATAGAGTGCTAGAGCGAGAGGGAAAAGTATAAAAAAGGAGACGGGGAAGGTCAAGGAGAGAGAAGGGGAAAAAAAGTTCTGCAAACTATAGCTCTGATATCTTTTGAGACTTCCCCCACCTTCGCCGGGCTTAGTGGTGTGTCATATTGACATGTGTGCTGCTACTGGGTGTCAGGAAACGGCTCAGGTCTCGAAGTCGCCCGGGTTCCGCGTTTTGATGACATTAATGCATGAGCGCATGGGTGCCCATGGGGAACAAAACAAACTTGCCGGAACAAACAAAAAAACAAGCAAAAAGAAGCCGAAAAATGGGACGATCCGACCCCTTTGGTCCAGCCAAAGCGACCTCCTGGAAGTCAAAGTGAAGCCGCAGGCCGTGCTCTTGAATTCGGACGTATGTGTCAGCCTCACCCGCAATGACTTCCATTTCAAAGGTCCGGAACAGGTTAGAGACCTTCCCCAGCTTGGCCACTACAGTCCTGACCCCCCGCTTCTCCAAACAGATTTGGCCGATCAAGGTGCGATGTGGCCAATGCTGCTCTTGCAGGTTGAAGTGAGCAATGTGCCCCACCACCTCGTAGCCGCTGGGTACGCTGACCCACGGGGGCAGCAAACGGCTGAGGGCCTGCTTGTAAGTGAGTTGCTCGTACCCCAGAGTCAGCCTGTGTAGTACGAAGGACCCTCCCAACTCTCTCATGAATTCCTGGGCGACGGCTGGCAGATGCTCTGGCGTCTTGCCAGGAGCAAGGAGCAAGAGGGAGTCGTCGCCCTCTGTGACCACGTTACAAATGCCCTGTTCCTTGCTCCTTGGAAGGCAAAGATCCAACACGCCGGGCACCTGTCCCAACCTGTAAGCGCCATCCCCCGGCAAACGCGCAGCCCACAGCTCCTGCTCAGTTTCCAGCTCCGCCTTCGCCTGCGCCAGCTCCATCGCCCTGGCATTGGTCGACGAGGGCGCACGGGCCCGAGCTCCTCGCGCGCGCTCCCGGACCGTGCATCGTAGCCTCGGTACCAGGATCGCCGAGACCCTCCGAGCCAACGCCAACGTCGGGGACGCCCACACCAAGGATGCCCAGGACGCCTTCTCTCTGAATCTGACGGCCGCCCCCAACTTTGGCCCCGGGCCTGACCTGGCAGGCCCACGCGACCTGCCCAGCATGGCAGGGCCTGCCCTGAAGCCAAACTGCGCGAGTGAAATCTCCCAAGGTCAAGGTCGACGCTCCATGCGCACTTCGCTTACGCATGTCCTCCTTGGAGGGCTCCCAGCCACGGCGCACGAAGCCTCAGCGTCCAGAAATTCTCGAGCGCTCCTTATCCGCTCTCCCTTGCCTGGGCCGCGAAGGACAGCAGTGAGGTAGCTGATCTGGTGATTCAACGGAACGCTCAAATGAAAACAAAGCACTGGGCGCACGAGCACGCAAAGCACTTCAAGGCCTCAGCTGGAGCAACCGCCGACGTGCCCAGACATCGACACACGCCATACTGAGTTTCGGACAAAAGAAGGACAGCTCCACCTTTCCGTGCTGCCAAAAACCCACCTCAAAGGTTTGAGTCATCAATGCTGACTGCCGGACCCTAATCAGTATTGTTGCTTTCGCACCGATTCAAGTTCACTAGCCAAGGCAGCAACTGGCATAATCCAGCCTCAACCCCACACAACCGCTGCAGACAATCCTCATGGCCAAGAAAGCGGGATGGCTGAGTGCCACACCATGGTACAAAGTGCTGGAGGCAATGCCGAGGATCAGTGACATCGTCAGAGCTGGTGCAATTCCAACCAGCCGCCTTAGTCAGCTGGCAGCTTCCTTCACGCTGCACGCGTGCAGCGAAGCCGCTTGTCCCAATGCCCGCTCCGCTTTTTTCCCTCATTCGTTCTCCGTGTCGCCCCAGAGAGGAGGCTGGGCAATGTCACGCAGCAGCTGCAGAACGAGGGTGGTGTCCCTGTATTCGTCCTGCTCCACATGCCACGGAACTGAGACTAGCGAACACGCTCCTAACCCTGGCACCGGCTTTCTTTAGGAGATCTGGCGGTTTATCAGTCTGGAGGTTGGGCTTGTACTGTCTTAGTCAAGGACTATCGGGTTGCTTTTGGCTGGGTTTGATTGGGGATTAAGTGCTATGACTCTTAGGACTTTGTTCTTATCTTGCTCCAGGGCAGGGTTCTGGCTATTTCGGAGCTCTGAAAAAGGGGGATGTTTGGCTGAATCGGGCGGGACTTAGCGTGACTTCATGTTTCTCCCCCATTAGCTTCACAGCTCTCGGGCTTGCTGTGGTGTATTGTTCTGTGCTGGTTTGGCAGCCAAAACAAACCGAAAAAATAATTTGTTCCTTTTTCAAGCAAACCTTACAAATATCCCCAAAACCTTACAAACATCCCCAAAAACTGCAAAACCAGCCCACAGTGTGCCGGAAAAAATAAGGGGGGGGGGGGGGAAGAAGAAAAAAAACCTTAACCGACCACAACCAAATCCCACCCCGATTCGGCCAAACATCATCCTCGATCCTAGGGCGACACAGTAGCAATCTCCGATTGCGTATCAGGGCGTGCCCTAGCCGTTTCACCTGACGAATTAAAAAGAATGGCACCATTACCACAAGAAAGTAAGAAAGTCCTCCCGCAGATCATCCAGCTTCGCCAAAGCTGCTGAATAGGAACGCCGTGCCTTCCTGCGGGCTGCTTGCACGTTGGTGTCACCAATGAAATTAGAGAAGTTCAATGCAATCGCCAAGCGCATCGGGTTGGTGACTGGCATCTCTCGTTCCGCAAGGACCTCTGCCTGACTGTAAATTTGAAACGCCATATCAGCCGCCCGCTGCTTCGCCTCGCCCTCCTCAAGTTCACACTTGAAACGGTAGTAATCTCCTTGGGTCTTTTGATAAAATATGATGCCCTCAGCCCCGCCGGCATGCGGAATAAGGCCATCCAGCAAGCTGAGCATTTCGTCGATAATGGACCGCAGCTCCTGCTCAATTTGGGTGCGATACTCCCTGTTGTAGCCTGGCATGGTGCCTTCTCTCGGTATCATCTGCAAGGCATGGCGACGTGAATGGAGAGCATTCTTGTAGGCCACCACCAGCATGTTACGCTCCTTCTCTGAAAGGCTGAAACTCTCTTGGGTCACTGCCAGCATGTGTTGTTTCATGTCGTCGAATAGTTCCGCCATCTCCGCCAGGTGGGCCAAGAACAGGGACTTGCTGCGGGTCATCGGCCAAAAGAAACAGCCCAGCACTGCACAGCAACAAGGACCGAAAAACCTTCACTGGCCTTCTCTCCAGCCCCGTATCTGCACAGCCTGCACCTCCACTTTGAGCCAAACATGAACTGTGTCACTGGACCCTCCTGACCGTCCTCTCAAGGAACCCACGGAAGCACCGTTGACCCAGGGGTGACAAGTGAACTAGGCTAGGGAGCGGTTCAGGGGGTGAAATCTACATCTTCCTTAACGCTATTCCTGCAAGCCTTGCAAACTGAGAGCGCCACCATGCTGCAACGCAACAGGGACGGAAACCGCTGCGATTGTCCTGTGACGCTCTTCGCAACTTTGCTGCTTGCATGCATCAAAACATCAACCGACGCCCCTTGCAGCCAGGCGTCGTGGCCCGACATGGCTGCATTGCATGTCCGCGCAGGCAAGGGCAGGGCACGGAAGCAATCCCACCGACTTCCGTAGCGGCATGCAACACGCCTTGACACGTCGCTGGATGTAGGCTGTTGGCTAAGTTGGGAGTCGTTGCGCTCGAGTTGAGCTAAGGTTAGCAATCCAAACCTGTGGTCCGAAAGCAAGGACCATAGCCATGTCTGAGCCTGAGTCAACGAAAATGGCCCACACATTTGTGCACTTGCCTGGTTTCTTTGGCACCGGAAAAAAGAAAAACAACAACGCCGTGCCGCAGTGCTGAATAGACAGGCTAGGACCGTGAGCTGGCAACTCACACGGAGATGTTTTTCAAATTGCGCGTTAACATTTGCACCGCATTGTTTCTGTAGAAACTGCAGTTTTGGGCGAAGAGGATATAGCTCAGGGAATCAAATCGCGTGAAGTACACACAGGTGACACAACTCAAGTGTAAGAAATAGGCTTGGCAAAGTTGGAAGAAAAGTAGAGAATGAGGGCACAACCTACCACCGGTAGCTGCCAGCACTGTGAGTTGTTTCACGATGATGTTACCGCCGCGGTATAAAGACAACCAAAACACCAAAGCAACCCAGAGGTGAGCCAAACTGAATCACCTGCGCCCAAATAAAGACCCCGCCGCCACGCCGAATTAGCGGAGAGGATAATGGGTGTTATCAAACTCACGTGTGGGAGAAATGAATGACGAGCATTGGGAGAGGGATCCTGCCTCCTGGACTCAAGTTGTGTAGGAAGTTTAAACGAAATGACGAAACAAAAATAGACAAGGACTACGACCCGGGAGCGCTTGCACAAACAGCGTCTCGCCGAACAGACGGCGGTCCGGGAAGAACAGCGGTACAGGGCAATGGTGAGCGCCTCAGCAGTGCTTGAAGCACCGGAAGATGCAAATCACCGTGCGCCGGTTGCCCTGCCTCTCACGCTCGTCGCGTGGCCATGTCCGACAGGTCCATCGCGGCCGCGTGGCGGGTCACGGTGCCCTCCGCGCGGGTCGCGGTGGGTTACGCCAGCGGTCATGACGTGGAGGAGCTCGTCACGTCCACCAACGCCACGTTTGTCTGTATGACGGCGGCCAGTATTTTTGCTCGCGTCATCTGAGGAACCCTAGGTGATCGGCAAGATGTTTCATGAGAACCTCTGGACCACTCCGAGTTGCCAGCGTCATCTCCAGGACCGAACGATTGCGTGTCGGAGCCTGGGGGGCAATGCTGAGGCGCACTCCAAGATGCATTTGTTCTGCTGGATTGCTTCATTATTGAGCTGCTCAAGCCGGCGTCTTGTTCGGACGGACCAGCTCGCAAATTCCTGCGCTCATCACCGGGCCTTGTTTACCATTTTCATTTTGGCCAGCAAACGCTCGGCCTCATGTTGCGGGCCAAGGGTCACGGGCATCATCGCCCTTTCACGCTCGGACCTCGAACTGCCCTGCAGTATCAAAGATTCCAAGTATTCCGCTGCTTGCCTCGGCGGGCATAGATCTTGTAGGGTCCAGGCAAGGGTTGGTAGGCCTATAGGACGGTCCAGGCAAGGGGGTTGATAGGCCTATGAGAGGGCGTAGGCAGAGAGGTGTAGGCCTTGGGTAGGCAAGGGCGTTGGTAGGCCCATGCCACTTGCCAAGGCCGAAGGGATGGGGTTCCGTAGGCCTTTGATAGACAACAAGGTTCTACGTTGGTCCTACACAGACAGGGCTCCAGCCCAGAAGAGGGCTACGTGATGGGGTTCGACAGGCCTTGAAGAGAGCCAGGGTCGGCAGGCCTAGTGTAGGGCTACGGGTAGGCCTAGGACAGCAAGCAGAGGCAGGTCAAAAAGAAAATCGCAAAAAACGATCCAGAACGCTCGAAATGAGCTTGCCGGGGACGAGCTAGCACGCCGCTAGCAAACGGAACGCCCTGAAGGAACCAGAGGACACTACATCTGGGGGTAAGAAAGAGTCGCGCACGGCAACGGCGCATCTTGAGATGCAACGGCTGCGTGGCAGTATTTGTTGCGCTGGAAGTCGCATGTGAGAGCAAGATGCAGGCAATGTGGGGCCTCGCTTGGAGAGGCAATTCAAAGCTTAGCGCAATCTGTCTTGGCGACTTGCATGCGTGCGTACGTACATACGTACATACAAACATACACACATACATGCAAACACACATACACACATGCATACACGCATACATGCATACATGCATGTATGCATACATACATAATTTCATGCATGCATACATACACACACATGCATACATTACATTCCATTCCGTTCCGTGCCACTCCATTACATTACGCTGCATTACATTCCATACACACGTTACATTACAGCACAGTAGATTACATTACATTACATACATTGCACCACATTACATTACATTGCGTTTTATTGCAACACATTACATCAAAAAACAGACATGGATACATACATACACACATACATACCCACATATATGCACACATACCTACATACACACATTACATTACATTACACTACATTACATTTCATCACAATACATTACATTACATTACATTACAATAAATTACATTACATACATGACATTACATTACATTACATACATACATACATTGCAAAACAATACATTACATTACATACATACATTACATTACATTACATTGCGTTACATACATACATACATACATACAAACATACATACATACATACATATGTACATATGTACGTACATCTACACATTACATACATACATACATTACAACATATACATAATGTCAAGAGACGGCAAGGTGACGTCCCGTGGGACGCTGTCCACCGAACCCTCCAGCTGTAAATACCAACCACGTAGAAAGGTGTATACGGTCAAACCGTTATAGCCGAACCCGTGTAACTGTTGTAAGGGAGAAGGAATAATAGTTACAACAGTGGTCCTGACAAATGCAGCGCAAGCGTAGTGTTTTCCGCTCTCGATTGCCGATCACGTATGAACGCAGCTTCACATAAGATCTTGAACCTCACTTGTGACTTGAGCCAAGATGGCAATCAATGGAACCTTGTAAGCAACACAAACACGGACCTCAGAACTGCTTCCCAATTTAGGCACGGGGCCAGGAGGGTTTTAACATCCCCCATTTGGGTCGCATCGTTCATCATGCGGTCCAAACACCACAAAACGTTCCAATGGCCACGGCTTCAGCTACGAAACTGTGTCGAACACTCTTTCATTCACTATTGCTACACCGTCCATTCATTGTGAAACTTGCCAGGTCCAATCAAGGCAGAAACATGCATCCACAAATCGTAGCACATTCCTATACTCAGATGCAAGAGACATTTTGCCTCTAGCCAATACGCAACCACTTGAAATCCCGGCTGCCGCATTTGCGCATCGCGCAGCCGTCATCCACAGAAATGGGTTGGCCATAGAAATCCATAGTAGCGCACGGTCATGAGCCATCTGAATATCATCGGCAAAGAAGATTTGGTGAGCAATACATGCAAAACATAGCCATTCCAGGTACCATGAATAATATATATAATGAAAAGGAAATCATCCATGAGGTAATAGTTCCATCCATGAATATCCGGAATGTCATAGCCGTCGGAATATGTAAATGTATACACATCCATTCATCTTGGACGCATGAAATCATATCATGATGTAGAGTCGTTCCATCGCAATGACATTGATGAGACGCAAGCAATAGATGGGGACTAGCCCACATCGTGCCGCAATCAACATCGGAGTGAATATACGTATTGCTGTTGGTGGGCGCACCGCACCGTATAAGCAATAATAATCCACATCTGCATTACGCATACCTGTCTCCAATGGACAGTCTGTGGGTACGTCGACGGAACTCTTCGTCCAAATTCTTTTGGGCTTCTCGTGCCCGGACACACTTCTTATGATGATCTTCTGGTATCCAATGCCCCATTCGTAGGCACCAATCCAGCAGAGGTGTGTCACATTTGTTCGGGTCAGTGGCTGCAATAATGGCGCTCACATTGACCGAATAACCGTGTTTGCCAAGGTTCAAGCCTTCCCTTACGAACGATATATATTTACCGTTTCAAAGCCAGGGAGAAGCATCTGTAAATGATATCACCCACCGGGTGCACGCGATCCTTGACCAGGAGCTTCATTTCGTCTTTGGTGATGTCGAGGATTCTCGCTGCAATCCACAGCTTGTAAAATATGTATAGCCCCTCGCACTTGCATACCATCAGACGAATGTATTCATCACGCTCCTCAGCCGACCGGAAGGCCCTTTCTCGAACGTTCTGAGACTGAGAAATCTTCAGTACCGTCGATGGCAAAAGGATCCCTTCCTGATCAATCTCCGTAATGTTGGGGTACTTCTTGAAGTCGTTGTGGTATGGACAGCCTTGCTTCCCTTCGAGCGCGGCATCGATCGTTCTCTTTTCACCCCCTTCGAACATCCCCCACATCTTTGACATCTGCAGCGCGATGAATCCCGCCATGTATTGAGCTTCGCGCGGCTCATCAAGGCAAATCGCCATCCGCTGGGTATTTATGATATCCCGCGATGTCAAGTCGTTGTCGCGGTATTGCCAACCGCCATCTTCTTCCTCAGACATGTAGCCGGACGTGTATCCTTGCGTGTCCATGTCGTCGTCTTCAGGAACGTTGAATGCTCCTCAGAGAGAATCACCCATTCTTGCAGAATACCTATTTGCCAGTGCGGATGAGCTCATGAATCCAAAATCACTGTGACCAGTTGTGACTCGGATGCACCAAGGCCTGTACCATCCATCGCATCTGTTGAACATCCTGTCGATGTCATCCCGATCCAGGCCAGCATAGTTCATCTCCTCCCTGGCCGCCTTCATGTCATTCGGGTTCATGACGCTTGGAAACCTTGCTGCCAGGACCTGAAATCTCGATTTCTTGTGTCCGGACTCCTGCCACTTGATCACTTCCATGATGCCCATGTATCGTTTTGCTCTCGAAGTTGAAGGTGGGAATATGTCGTTATTTCGGTCGTCAATGACTGCGTC